GATGGATGATAGTGAATCTTTTTGTAGCACATCTATGTTTCCTACCAGTACAGACACAAAAGCCCCTTAAATGCCCAAATATAATTTAACCTACGAAAATACTGGTTTAACATAAATTTAGTAAATTACTTGGCTAAGATGATTTCTGTCCTTATAGTCACATACTGAAATATTTATGGATAAAACTATAAAATACATGGGATTTCCTTTAAAATCACTTGGGGGAGAGTAGGTGGGGACATACACAAAAAAAGACCAGAGCTGATAATTGCTGAAGCTGTGTACTGGGTACATGGGGAATTCTCTACCTTTGTAAGTAAGAATGTTTCCATTAAAAAAAGTTTGTCTGAATAGGGGAAGCTGGTTGCGGGAGAGATGGCATTGTACTATCATCCCACATTTTGTATTAACATGAAAGTATTCTAGATTTAACCAAACAAAAAATTTTACTTGTTTGGAGACGGGGGAAAAAACTGTGGTCTAAACACCATTTCCCACAAAAGGAAATGGCTTCAGGAAATGGCTAATTGCAAGCTGGATAAAAAATGCACAAGATGAGCCTAGAACATCTTATCCAGAAAGCAAAGTCATCATCAAAGACCACTGGAATCTTGTCAGGACACAGAAAACAACCCAGGAGCCCAAGACGAGATAATCTGAGCAGCAAAAAGAACAGTAACTGCATCAGATTCCAACATATCAAATATATTTTTTAAAAAAATCATTGGTACAAAATGATACTAGAAAACAACTCACTGATTTCCTTTAAAAAATACTGGAAAACCAACTCATGAGTATTCTGAAAACTGATAAAAAGGGAAAACGATACAAAAAGATTTACTGGTTAAAAAAAGCCATATTATTATCTGGATAAATGCTAGAAAGGTACTTGATAAAATCCACTCCTGATAAAACGTCTCAGTAAAAGGTTCTTTTACGTCCTGTGAGGTTTTTTAATATAGCTCTTGCAAATTTTTAAAATTTATGCCTTTGCATTTTATAAAAAGGTATCAAAAAGATAATACGGGAATACTAAGAACTCTACACACATGAATTAGGCAACTTAGGTGAAATGGACCAATTCATCAAAAAACACAAACTACCAAAACTTACCCAATATGAAATAATTTGAATATCCTCTAACTACTCAGGAAACTTAATTCTTAATTTTGAAACTCCTCCCTAAAAAAAATCACCAAGCCCATATCATTTCACTGGAGAATTCAACTCACCATTTAAAAAAGAATTAGCACAATTCTACATAATTTCTTCCAGAAAATAGAATGTGAGAGAAGACTTCCAAATTCATTTTATGAAGCTAGTACTATTCTGATACCAAAACTCATGATAAAGAATTCTCAGAAAAACAGGAATAGAGAAGAACCTCTTCAACTTGACAGAGAGCATCCACAAAAATCTAGGACCAAGATCTTAATGGTGAAAGACCGAATGCTTCCCCCTGAGACTGGGAATAAAGCAACGATGTGCTAGAAATTCTAGCCAGTGGAATAAGACAAGAAAAAGAAAAGACATACAGGCTGAAAAGAAAAAAAAAACTGCCTATATTTGCAGATCCTGAGCAATCTGCAAAACAACTACCAGAACTGAGTTCAGCAAGGTCACAGGACCAACACACAAATACCAATCACACCTCTGTATCTAACAAAGAACATGAGGAAATAAGTTTAAAAAACAATGCCATTCATAATCACTCCAAAGAAAATGAAAATACTTATGTTTAAAAGTATAACAAAACACAAGACTTGTTCTGGAAACTATAAAATGCTAATGAAATAAGTCTAAAAAGATCTAAATTAATGGATTCTTCATGGACTGGAAGACTCAGCAAAATAATAACATGACTCTTCCCTACAATAATATACAGATTTAACACAATTCCTAACCAAATCTCACCAAGACTTTTCAGATATAGATGAGATTATTCTAAAATGTATATGGGAAGGTAAAGGAACTAGAAGATCCAAAACAATTTTGAAAAAAGGAAAGAGAGAGGAATCAGTCTATCTCATTTCACAACTTAGCTCAGTAATCAAGACTGTAGTATTAACAAAGGGACAGACACAGAGGTCAGTGGAACAGAACAGAGAACCCAGAAACAGACCTTCACAAATACGCCCAGTTTTTGACAAAGGTGCAAAAGTAACTCAATGGAGGAAAGAGACAGCCTTTCAACAAATGGTGCTGGAGCAATTGCATATCCACAGATCAAAAAAACGAACTTCCACCTAAGTCTAACATTTTATACAAAAATAACTCAAAATGTATCACATGCTTAAATGCTAGAATAAAACTTTGAGGAAAAAAACACAGAAGACAATCTTCAAGATCTAGCGCTAGGCAAAGAGTTTTTAGACTTGACACTCAGAACAAGATCCACAAACGAAAAAATCATACACTGAAACTCACAAAATTAAAAACTCTTAATAAGACCATGTTTAAAAGGATGAGAAGAAAATCAAGAGGCCTGCAGGAAATATCTGTCTACCACATATCCAGCAAAGGGCTAGTATCTAGAATACATCTAGAACTCTCAAAACTCAATAGGAAAAAAAAATTCAATTAGGAAAAGGACAAAAGACATGAAGAGACATTTCATCAACGGGAATATATGGATAAAAAATAAGCACATGAAAGTGTGTTCAGTATCATTACCCATTAGGAGAATGTACATTAAAACCTCACTAAGGTATCACTAGATACATACCAGAATGGCTAAAATGAAAAACAGTGATAACACCAAATGCTGGCGAGGATGCAGAGAAACTGGATCACTCCATACACTGCTGGTAGGGATGTAAAATGGTACAGCCACTCTGGAAAACAGTTTGGCAAGTTCTTAAAAAAACTATACATACAATAACCATACAACTCAGCAATTGCTCTCCTGGGCATCTATCCCAGAGAAATGAAAATTTAATGTTCAAAAAAACAACAACAAAAAAACTATGCACAAATCTTCATAGCACTTTTATTCAAATAGCCAAAAACTGTAAACAATCCAGATGTCTTTCAAAAGGTAAATGGTTAAACAAATAGATACCATGGAAAACTACTTGACAATAAAAAGGGATTAACTATTGATATATGTAACAACATGGGTGTATTTCCAGAGAATTATGGTGAGTGAAAAAAACCAAACCCAGAAGGTGACAAAGTATATGAGTTCATTTATATAACATTCTTGAAAGACAAAATTATAGAAATGAA